ATTTCCAAACACCTCGAAGTTTGTCAAAAATACCTCGCTACGCGTCGTATTTTCAACTCTCTTCTCGGTGGTTGGAGATGTGTTTTATATATTACTTCAACAATCTGTATGAACTATACAAATGTTTTGACAGTGCTAAGATTGTTTTAATATTTACTGATACTTACTATTTTTGGCTAATGTTAAGTTGATTTTTCTCCCCAGCTGCATGAAATTATGAACCTTTGTTTCGAGGAGAAGGTAGAAAAACGACACGGAGCGGCATACATTCGAAGACTACTGGAAGAAGCTTGGTCCACTGAAGGAATGTGGGACACATACCTTTGAATTAAACTGACGTGAATAATCACTTGGATTACCTAATAATACAATACCAGCAGAGATGCTTTTTCGAAATGTCCTTTTTAATGTTAAGCAGAAACTTGTTCCTATTTACACTTCATTTTCAAGCTAACGCGGTTTGTAACACTTTATCTACACCTGTACATCTGTAGCATCGTTGAGTGACAAAGCAAAAGAACACTTTGTGCTCTTTTTCTTTTAAACAAGTACGTAATCTTAGTACTTGTAGTTGTAGGATTCCTTACTCACTTCCAAATTAAAATTATATGCCTAGCCGACAATGAGTTGTTTTCTGCTGTCGATACAGTATCGACCTATATCTACATTAACACCTTTCAATGTTTTATATGCATGTTCTTCCTTGCGTCATTTCTATTCCCTTGGCTTAGAGTAGAGAGACGTTTTCTGTTTTCTAGTAGAAGCGCATTCACATTTTCGTTCGACTGGTAACATAGGACTAGTTTATACGTTCCGTTTTGTTCTTGTAGAAGTCTTCCTCTTGAAAGAGTTCTCCTGTATTTGTAATTTTTAATGCGTCTCGGTCGAACGCCGAGTATTTATGCAGGCTGAATATCTGAATATCCCAACACAACTGGAATACCTGACAACAGCTTTTAAGATTAGAGAAATTCGCGTTGTTCAGCACAATGGATAAGGTACTCATTTCATTTAATACCTTATGTGTAGAAATGTTCTCGTACATCGCGAGGCTTGCATTGATCTTAAAGATCACAG